ATGTGTAGTGTATTATATCAAAATCAATAAATTAATGTTCTGGAGAAGTAGTTAAAAATTTGCAACGCTTGTTCTTCTGACCAAATTTTGAAGGAATGTGTTTCGTCATTCTTGAGAAGAATCAAAAGGCCAGACGAACCATAGACGGGTGAGGAGTGATGGGCTCAGACCCTGAAAATGGGTAGACGGAACAATCCCCTCTTACTCTTTATTGAAGCATTCCCGCTAGGGAAGAGAACAACCTATCTTATATACATTGTTCTTCTGAAATCGTCACCATCGCGATATCACTTTATGCAGAGTAACCAGCGTAGAGTTTTGAATTTTGTCACACATTTCATGCGGTTTTGACGAATAACGGGATGCAATGGTAGTAAAGTGTGACAGAAGAAACATCACAGAACCCAAATCGGGACACCTTTTAGCGAAATATTGATGTATTTCATACCATAGTACCGATCCCAGTAACTTTACTTCACTTTTCTTAAATAGATATCACTATCTTTTCATTTTGATTACAAGTTGATATTTCGGCGCGTGATTCTATAAATATAACCGGAAATATAGTAATGGTTACGTAATCGCGAAACAGTTGTAGCTGTACCCAAATCGGGACACCTTTTAGCGAAATATTGATGTATTTCATACCATAGTACCGATCCCAGTAACTTTACTTCAATTTTCTTAAATAGATATCACTATCTTTTCATTTTGATAACAAGTTGATATTTCGGCGCGTGGTTCTATAAATATAACCGGAAATATAGTAATGGTTACGTAATCGCGAAACAGTTGTAGCTGTACCCAAATCGGGACACCTTTTAGCGAAATATTGATGTATTTCATACCATAGTACCGATCCCAGTAACTTTACTTCACCTTTCTTAAATAGATATCACTGTCTTTTCATTTTGATAACAAGTTGATATTTCGGCGCTTGGTTCTATAAATAGAACCGGAAATATAGTCATGGTTACATAATCGCGAAACAGTTGTAGCTGTACCCAAATCGGGACCCCCGCACCAGCTTTGGCTTATATTTGGAGACGAAAAAAAGTATTAAGCAGAACATGGCATATCTTTGGAATATATAAGAGTCAATGATCGTTCTGAATAAAATTCTTTTCCAAACTACCATCAGTTGTGATATAGTAGAATTGCGAAAAATCACATACAAAAATTGTAAATCAACAACGTCGCATGGTGCATCAATTTAGAACGTTACATTTTTGTCATTATTTACAAACTAAAACTGTGATTGTTACCATAAGAGGCAGTAAATAAAGTTCATATAATGTTTTATTGGTATATTAGGATCTTTAAATCGATATTTTCAAGTTAAAAATACTTCTTTGCACAACATGCAAATTTCTTGTGATTTTTCCCTTCAAGTGTCCCGATTTTGGTAATGTGACGTCAAAGATAAATTTCGACTCTCTGGATAAGGTTTTTGAAGTATAGCACCCGACAAAACCTCGTGCTATACTTCAAAAGTCGGACCGTCGGATTGTGATTTCTCTGTCTTCATCCAACGGGAGTGATTTATTCTAATGCTATTATACGGCTCATTTGATTAACTAAGAGGTAACAGGTAGGGTTGTTGGTTTATGTACTGACTGTACACGACGAGGCAAGGTAAAAACTTATAACCCCTGAATTTGAAAATAGAGTCGTAATGTACCATATAAGATCCCATATAGAGTAGATTTTAAAACCCATCAAAATGCAATGACTTTATAAAAATCACACTAAATACTGACCTCTCCACGTCAGCATTTTAGACTCTTTCCACAGACGTCATGTACACACACACATACATATTATTTAATGTATAATGGTGATTTGTAATTGTTTTGTTTTGTTTATCAATTATAACTAATACTATTATTCATATGTTGTAAAGCGCTTTATAGGAATTTAGCAAATAACATAGGACGCTAGATAAATGTTTGTCTGTGTTATATATATCTTACGATAATATAATGCTTTAAATTATCAATATACAGCGGAAACCCATGTTTAAATTGGTATTACACATTTATGTGAAGGCGATGGTGTGGCTCTAATCCGGTCTGAAATAATCTTAAAACTGCACTTAACCTAACCTCACAACGCCGACAGATCTCGTGATATCAAAATAATACCGAGAGACATTTATCAAGTCGTTTTCGTTTCGATTTAGTTTGTGACCTATTGTCATCAACGTGTTATTGATTCAACTTTTTTTTTTGTTCCGTCTTGTTTAACAGAACAGTGGCGACTTCCTACCACTCAGACACGCTTTATCAAGAAACAAACCGTTACAGCTCTACCGGCTGTAAAGCTGTACTTATTGTAAAGTTTAGGATGTGTATTTCAATATGTTAGAGGGGTATATCACAATGCATAACAGGTATATTACCATTTATAAGGATGTATATAACAAAATATAAGACGTATGTATTAAAACGTATGATGGGTATATTACAATGTATCAGAGGTGTATATTACAAAGAATAAGAGGGACATATTACAATGTATAAGAGGTGTATATTACAATGTATCAGAGGTGTATATTACAATGTATCAGAGGTGTATATTACAAAGTATCAGAGGTGTATATTACAAAGTATAAGAGGTGTATATTACAATGTATAAGAGGTGTATTACAATGTTTAAGAGGGGTATTACGATGCATAAGAGAGGCATATATCAATATATATACTAAAATATATAAGAGGGGCATACTACTTTGTATAATAGAGGTACATGTATAGTACAATGTATAAGAGGGGTATATTACAAAGTATAAGGGGTAAATTAAAATGTATAAGAGGGGTGTATTACAATGTTTAAGAGGTGTATATTACAATGTTTAAGAGGGGTATATAACAATGTATAAGTGTTGTATATAACAATGTATGAAGGGGTGTATTACAATGTATATAGATAATATATTACAACGTATAAGAGGGGTATATTACCTTTTGTCATACTGCTAGTGAAATTCTAACGGTTTTCATTTGTCAACAGCTTAGCTGTGATTTACTATATTGGAGTTCTAGTTCGGTAATATAAGTGCACGCGCTAAGGGGGACAACTCCCATTGGCTGAAGCCGAGTATGTATTGCGGAACATCCCGAAGCGTTCCGAGTACCTGTCGTCTGTCACAACACAACAATGGCTGACAGCGCCGAGGACCACCAAAAATACCAACGAAATGGCTTCAAAATTTCTAAAGGAACACTTGGAGGAGAAACAACAATCCACACAATTTTAAGAATTCTCAGCGAATAAATATTTTGTTATTTGAATTTGATTTATATGATTTTTTTAGAGTTTGCCGTATCGTTGTACAGCCTGTTCGGCTCGGGAAATATGAAACCCAGACAGGTAATTTGAGCCCATGTTACCAGCACAAAACCTGTATAATTAATAGCATAAAAGAGGTCCTCAAAAGCCGCCTAAACGAAGTCTGAAAGGACCGCCCACACAACTTTACCCCCTCTTTTTAATTAATAGTATATTTTTATTATAATTAATAGCCACTTGAAACAACTTTTTTTTTTTAAATTTTGATTTAAAATACACATTTACCTGTGAGTGTGTGAGAATGCCTCGTCACTCATCAACAACAATAATAATGACAATAACAAGCTTCAATAAATTGAGAATAATAATATCATTACACATGTATTTCTTAAAATTTTGTAAATATCAAGTCTTTTAATTTCATGATCCCGGAATCGTGTGGATACAAAAATGAAAAGCCAACAGAAATAGCCTCTTCTGGCTATCCATCGTTGCGAAAACAGTAAGTAAACGGTGTATATTACAATGTGTTTATTGTACAGTCCTTGTATTCAACAGCTTTGAAATATAATCGGGCATTTCCAAGGGTAAAATGGATTAACGAATATAATCCTTACTGAATGCCTAGCTTCAATACCCATTGATCTTATGTAAACACTTGATTACTGTGCTTCTGAAAACAAAGCTAAACACGAAAGTCTACCGCCAATGTATGATACACAAGCACCTGGAGTGGATAATCGGCCCAGGGGATACCGGGCGATGTTCTGCTCGCGTGAGGGATTATATGCTGACGTTGTCCCTGTGACCTTTAACCTAGGTCAAACTACGTGTATTATTCACAACCTGTTGTGTATAAAGGGAAAGACTCATTGATTGACGGTATAAACAAAAATATATTTATTGAAAAGTCCTCAACAACGAAATAATTCTACGTATGTACAACGCAGGGGATTACCGGAGATATTTCATGTTTACAATGTTGATCACGTACAGTACAACACCCGTAGTTCTAAACCAGTATCGACCTATCAACACGTGTAAGATTTAGTTAAATACCGATCGACAGTTCTGTTAAGATGATATAGAACTGATCGATAACTTATACAATAAGCACGTACTGCCGTTACAATATCAATACGTATTTAGTTATCTCGCTAAAAGTGATTGATAGCGAGTTGTGTAAATGACTTTTAAATTATAAAAAACAAAAATATCACTAAATAATGCTACACACAAATATTTGAATCGTAAATCAAAGTAGATCGCTTGGGGAAAATTATCCTGGAATTTCTCCCAGTTTTGATGAGGACCGTAAAATGCACAATCCAAGAACATGAATGCATTTGCTTACGTCTAAGAAAATAAACGTTCGATTCTTTAAGTTGCTGTACAATAAAACTACTGGATGTCGTTGGATAATGGACACGTATATAAACTTTAACCTTCTTTGTCCAGTCATTTTTGTTTCCAAAAAAGGTAGGAATAACAAAAACTGATAAATGTAATGATCCGGAATTTTGTTTTCCTGATCATTGTATCCCGACATCAACGTAGATCAAAAGTATTTCCTAGAGTAGGATACATGGTATCAAATGCATGGTCGCAGCCTTAATGTCCAGTAAACACACAATACATAAACACACATGACCGTCTGTTATAAATAGAAATGTCATTGTTTCTGGTAATAAAAAAATACAATACCTATACATGTTCACATATTGTCTGTTTTAATTAAATAAATAAATAAATAAATAAATTTGAAAATGCAGTTAGTGTGTCAAAGCACTATTTAAAGCAGTGCTAAAGCTTTTTCAAACAATGTCAGACTGTGGAACGTGGGCATAAGTTACAAACATAAAGATGATTTCATCGCAGAAGTGCCGTGTGTACACAATAAATGTGTACAGTGACACATGTTTTAATCGAACTAGTTGGGTTCGTGTCATCCTGGTACCTATTGATCGATTCTTGTTGATTTCAATTGTCATCGCCTGATATAGCAGACTTTGTTACTGTCCGACAGCGTCCGAAATGATGTAAGTCTACATCGTCCGACAAAAGAAAAACATTGACAGAAAAGCTACACTGTCCATGACTCAGCAATGCGAAATTATTTCATAAAATCACATAATCAGTCCCTTTTTTGAATTTCTCGGAAAAAATTACTTCCAAGCATCCTGTTTGATTTAATTGCCCTCCACAGGTAGTTCAGAGTTCGTGCGAGAACTGTATACGGAGAACTGTGAGTTACTGTTTCTAGACAAAGATGACCTCTTTCTCCAGTCGGGCTGGTACTGATCCGAATATATCCTAAATATGGTTGTCATATCTGGTATCACAGTGGTCTTGCTTCTGCGATTAAGTGCTAGTAATTTAGCTGTGGGTGGGTGGTTTCTAACACGAGAACGCTTTAACGAGGATGGCCGGTTTTGTGTTTCGTAATCGTCTATCTCATTAAGAACAATTTGACGCGCGTCTTTACCATTTATGAAAGTCTCACTCCTTTCCAATGCCGGTGCGTTCGGGGAAAACATCGCCGGAAGTCGCAAACCGTTGTCGGACCAGGTGGCGAAGAAATCTGGGTGACCTTTCACATGATGACAGGACGGCGTCGTTGTCCGTTGGTACATGGTCGATTCTCTCGAAAATGAGAATGACATGGGCGCAGGAGTCATGGGCGCAACGCGCCGTGTAGCAAATTTGCTTTGGACATCATGACTTCGCTGTGACCAATCAGACGCATTTAGAAATACTTCGTTATCTCGAAGACTCGGGTTTGCGCTGCCTTTCTTTATAAGCACGTGTGCTGACACAAAATGACCATTTTTACAGGCAAGTAACAGTGCCGTATATCCCATACTGTTCCGTGTGTCTACATCCAAACCAAACCTCACAAAACAGTCAACGAGCTGTGTAACGATGGTCGGGTTGCCGCTTGACGCCGCATGGTGTAGCGGTGTGTTGCCATCGTTATCAGCCTCGTTAATGTCCAGCACGTCCTCTCGGATGATCATGCGCACAATATCTTCCCTCCCGTTCATGCATGCATAACTAAGTGCTGTTCTTCCTAGATTATCGCGAAGGTTCAGAAAAGCTCCGGCCTTCAACAAGATTTTCGCCATTCGGTATCCGAACTCCTCCTCAATGATGCAGGCTAACATCATCGGCGTTCTACCGTTCAGATCTTTGCTGTCAACGTTGACGCCATGTTTTGACACCAGCAGGCGCACCTGATGCAGACGACAGTCAATGACGGCCTGATGAAGCGCCGTTTTTATTGGACGACGCTGGAACATCTGCGTCGAGTTGGGAGAGGCCGAACAGGTCTGGGATTTAACTTCCGTTTCCGCCTGAAACATAGGAGCAGAAATATATTTTTATCATTTGTAATTAAATATACAAATAAGGAAGTATTTAGATCTCGGTATTGTTGTTAAACGATCTCCAGAAACAAAATAATGTCTGAGATCGTTTTACAGTTTCCAGATTTTATTTTTATACTTAAAAAAAAATGCTTCTTGATTTATGTGTAACGAGATATACATTATTACCTCTTGATATCTATTACCTGTATGTAGTCATATTTCAAGAGTTGGAGTCAAATTGCATTCAAGTATTCAATTCTGTTATTATCGTAAGCAATACAGTATACTGAGACGACTATCAGTATTACTCCATCTATCCCCACATTAGCGTTCCTTTCATTGTTATCATTGTCTAATTGTATTTACTTATTGAATGTAATTAGATTATAATAACAACCGTTTGTAGACACGGGTTAGAAGAATCCATGTGGGAGGGTCGAGACTGAAAATGATAAGCTGGCCGGCTCCGAAATCATATATTATTAAAACTACATAAGACATAAATAATCGGGAAACTGTCATCTCCTGACGGTTCAAAAACTGAAACTGGCTTGCTGACTCCCAAGTCTTTTGCACGTACAGTGCAAGTTCAGATCTGACAAAAAATGTTGTTGCTGTTGTTTTTGTTGTTTCTGTTTTGTTGTTGTTGTTGATAAGAATGTTTGATTGAATGCATAGTGAATCTACAAAAGTTAAACAAAATCTATAACGGCATTAACATGAGTGATATACGTAAGCCAAAATAAGGCACACACATTTACAAGGTAAGCAGACAATGCTAGGAATACGACTACATAATGTATTACAACAACATACATTTGAAAGATACGTCAGCAAAAGCGCCTCTACCTGTAGACAGTCATAATAAGAAATCGTTAAAATGCAATTTGTCTGTGGGTCAACCGTGGAATTTAAACCTTAAAGTGTTTGATAGAAATATTGGCCACTAGCATGGGAACTGTGCATCTGGTTAATATAGAGCATGGCACATAAAGACTTAGTATGAATGTTGTCTGGTCGAGCTTGACAAACACAGCGTTTAACAGATCTATATCTGCTGGTTTGTCTGTCCCATTGATATATACCCTTTATAAATTAACCAGTGTCTGACAACCAGTGTCCAGATCAACTCACATACGAAACCCATTACCAGCTATAAATAGAATTGATATGTGAGTGTTACGTCACCAGTATATAACGGAAATCAAACTGTTCAACTGAAAATTCAAACGATACATTAAAGTGAAACCGCCAGATATAAGATTCATCAGAATGAGTTTCAGTTTATAAACCATTTGCACGTTTAAACGTTGTTGTTCTAATAAAGACAGCAATGCTATTAAACGATGTATTATTGATCGAAATGTTTGGCGATTTGGTCAGTCGACATCGTACCTTACTTTTAACACTCTCAAATGTATTACCATAAACCAGATTTTACTATCATAACATTAAAATCAGAGTTTCCTTACCAAGTAGTAGTATTGAAATATTCGTTTGGTTTATTATGATATCACCATGACGACAGTAACGTCATTACGTCACTTTCACTAGCATGATTACCGAATCCACGAAAAACAACAGGATCACGTTGACGTTACCAAAGCAACATGTCATCTTATAATGATCAGTTTAGGATAGGTCAGTCATAAACAGATTCTTAAACCACAGTAGTCTTTTTTGGACCTTCCTAAACATTAAGAAGTCATAATGTTAATATTGTCACTCAAGCTATTGTTTTAATATACTAGTATTCTCTTGATCTAAGATATGATACTTGTACTAACATATTGTTTTTTAAATCGACGTGATTCTATTTAACTAAGTTTCATGTCAAATTAAGTATAAGTTTCCTAAGCAAATAATTGTACAAGCAAACACAATGCATTTGACTAGAATCTCATTGTCATCACCAAATATTATTTGCTTTTCTATTACCTCTCATCCTCATCATAATAAAATATATTCGTAAGTAGCATAGATACAGCAATATTGTGACCTACCTGTACTTGTGCTTCTGGTATAGAACCTAGTGGGTTCTTGAATGAGTAAACCATTATGCATAACCGTTCAGGACCCGACCACAAACTGTATTTCACAGACTTGTGATGGCGGCGGTGAATAATTGATAAAAGCCACCACTCACTTTTGTTACTAGTATTTAAATATATTCCCCTTAACAATCATTATTTTCTTTATAGATCAAGCGCTGTCCATTTACCATTTGAATGATAATGCATCAGAGGTTTGGAGTGTGCTGGGTCGATACTGTTCTTCACGGGGACAACTAAGGAACACGTCAATAGTTCTCTGTATAAAACAATGGCTGGTTGATCTACTATCACCATGATGCGTCAGGTACCTCTTACCGATTGTATGTATCCCCCACTTATGCTGTTGCTACGGTTTAAATGGATGTAGTTTCATCGTCTGACAATATGGACCAACCACTGATGATAGTTGAAACAAAAGCAACAGTCTACAAATAAATCTATGTAGCTGTATTACAATGTCAATACATATTGTTAAATTTTGTCCTTGATGCAACGTCCTTAAAATCAATTACAAATCTGTTTGAAATTTTGGATGGTATCCATTTATGAACATAAAAAGTGAAAACATGTTTTATTTGGCGATATTTCATATACGTTTAAATCAGATATGTAGTCATTGTTACCGTTAGTGCATTTGGTCATGATCAATCGTAATACACATAGTTCTGTGTTATGGGAACGCCTGACATTGACAATATTTTCCCCGAGGGATTACAATGAAGGCGCATTGTACCATCACAAGCCAAGTTCTACATATTGACACCAACACACAGCAAGTCAAAATGAAATTTAACAAAGTTATATTAGATATAAGAGTTAAAAGGACAGCCCCAGGAAAGGAAAGTATAGTTGGTAAATAATGGCATATAGCATGGTCCTCTACCGTTAAGGTAAGACAAAGAATTAACAAACAGAGGAGTTATTATCTTGATTGTCTAACCCGACGCTTTGCATTAAGCTTCGGGTTCGACTTTCCAGAATTTCACCTAGATAATTAAGATTTTTTTGCATACTCTCACCGTTGGGGAACTTTTTTTTCTGCCATTCTTTTATAAGTTTGTTTGAAAACAATTATTTTCAGCATTTGTAATCTGTTTTTGATTTGCACAAAGACTCATCTGTCAAAAACATGGCTTCCATGTCATTTTGTATTTCTTTCGTAACGTGTTAATATTATTTCCTTTAATGTGCTATAATGTGATATAATAGAGGAGAAGACAGATAAACCATATCCTATTCAGGTCGATAGAGGTAAACTTTACCGGTAAAACAGGAGACAATTCTGAGGAGTGGTGGGAGGAATTGCATTACATTACCAAGCATAGTAGAGAAACTTTACTAACCTATGTGACGGTCTCCATTAGAAAACTGTTATCCAATCATTGACATAAAAATCTGAAGAAAATTCTTCACAAAATTTAAAATAAGATTAAAAGAAAATTTTGCAAATGTATTCAAACTTTAAAAATGTGACAGAGAGGTAGGTAGCTGTGATGTTAAGAGTAGGAGAAGGAACGGGGTTTTATAATATGTGATAATTACATGTTAGATATCGATTACAATTTTTACACTCGTCTATGTATGCTACTCCATGTTCAACCCAGTAATTACATTGGCAGAACGAACTCTATGCATATTCTACGAACCCAAACTATACATTGATTTGTATAAAAGAAAATTAATACCCCCAAAAGGAACACTCAATCCATATTTAAAGGTAAACCAATAGCAGATGTATTTTAATACAGTAATCCTATTCCGTGTAACGTTATAAATCCGCAGACTATGATATCCACTGCCCGCCTTGAATTCCTTGGTCATATTTATTAACAATGACTGTTGAAGGCATACGCAGTACGTTTCTATGTCCCTACATAACTATGTTGTAAGGGACTTCTCGTGTCGCCTGCATACTCGGTGTATAGATTTATGTCCGATATTAAGTCAGGTATATTATAAAATAGGATACATTATAGAATGACTCAAACAGTGTATCGTTGCTATACCTACATACGGTAAATAGCAACAGTTGGAATTTGGCCGTTATCGTTTTGGTCATCCAGCATCAAATACTTTTCTTATCCACGCGTATTGCTTATATGTACTTCTGAATCCTATTATTTTATGGCAGACATTTCACACAATATGAAATGTTTTAAACAAAAAGCAGTCGGTGATTATTTCTCATCAATAACATCCTAAGGTTATTCATGATAAATATTCATAAGAAACATAATATTCTTTCAAATAACATACAAAACATATACATGGTATTCATGGTTTCTTATGTCTTCGGTGAATTTGAGCACTTATCAACAGGTCTTTCCACTTATCTTTTCATTTACTTTATCTTTTGAGTCATTAGAGACCAAACGCATACATAAATGTACAATATACAGGTAAATCGTATACTTGTTTAAATCGTAATATCGTAGTGTGATCCTGATATATTATGTGACAACATAATCTATTGTTTATCAGATACGGACGACAAAGAGATCAGAATCAGCGAGTACGTTACCGTTTTGTTAGAGGAGGCCACGCTTTGTCTCCTATTGGCACTTGAGTATCTGTAGCTAACAGCCACATGTACACCTCCTCCACCCTCCATTTCGTACAGGTATGTTAATCAACAGGTAAGTCCAAAACACACAGGTAAGTCAAAATGAATCCCAGTGCGGAGTTTTAAATGTCTATACCACAGGTTGCATATATCTACATCGTATTATGCATTTATGTGACTTTATCCAAGATTTAAATCAACTTTTATGCACGTAGTCCCCCGGCTCGTGTAGCATATATCTTCTATAACAGGTGTGAGAGATTAAGCAGGTAACACACACATATATATACAAGTCCTTGCTATATGTGACTGGCTTTGTCTTAGACCACTGTCCTTGGTACACGTGACCTATCGACCAAACGTCTATAGGGATACCCTTCATGACTTAGTGTAATCTTATCTTGCCTCAAATGAGCTGTCGGGAGTCTAAAGCTGATATACAGCTTATTGTAACGTAATAGTTTATATACGGATACCTGTCAATGTTCATGAATAACCATCATACGTCTAGAAAGTCTTCAATTAGCGGTGATTTAAAAAAAGTGGTTTTTTTTTAAAATGAGAGGATAAACGAACACGAACCCATTACGAAATCAATTTGACGTTAAGAGATAAACATCCACTTATCTTCTCCTAGCGTGTGGCCAAAAAAACCACTTATCTTATCTTTCATTTCACGATGTCATTTTCGCTTGTGTTAATATGTATAGATGAGCCGGTTAGTAGGTACATGCAAATCGGTCCTTTGTTATGTGTTGATGTCCATTTTAAAAGCACATGTCTGTATGAAATTGATTTATACTGCACGGTATTAAATGTCACTTAATGATGAGTGTTTCTTTGCTAAGGGGATTTCAATCATATGCATCACCTAAATTTTTAAGAATTTGTTCATTATAATTTCTTTCTGTCTGAATATTCAGCTTGTGAAAAGAAGTAAGCTGATAAAAAATGGTTATGGAAATAAACGTTTTCATCAAGTTTTAACAAAGTTCAATTTTCGAGGCAAAGTTATTTTTAATTAATTTCAAAATTATAAATGTTATCTTGTCATTATAAATGTTAAGATATTATCTTAGCGCTACAAATGATAAGATATTATCTTAGCGCTACAAATAATGACCAATTTGTTAACGCTACACATGGATTATGTTGTTTTTTTACCAGTATAAATGTTAAGTTATTATCTTAGTACTAAAAATTATCAACAGTATTTTAACGCTACAAATTAATTGATTATTTCACCAATACAAACTGTTAATTCAATGTATATTAGTGCTGCAGATGTTCAGTTATTATCTTAGCACTACAAATAATAAACACTTATCTTAGCGCTACAAATGAAAAACAACTATCTACAAATGATAAGTACTTGGCTTAGCGGTACAAATACACGTGCATAATGTATATATATGGGATCCATCTCACGATAGGTGCTTAAAAAAGGCAATAATTTGGATTGCAAAAGAGGGTTTAAATGATTTTCTTTTGAATATTTTTTTATTAGATGTGCATGTCATGATGACGAAGCATATAACATTAACATTATCAGGAGAAATTCTAAAGACAATCATGATATTGAAAGTTTAAACGTGATTTGATATATTTTACCCGTTTACATTCATGCTGGGTACGTAGAGTCAACTAAGAAGCATGTACAGTAAACTTAATTGTTAATGATTATGTACCGTAAAAGGTGTTAAAAGCTTATTGAGCGGTTCATCATTGATGCAGTTTGATAAAAAAAAACATGCGTTATTTTAGGCTAATTATATTGATTGGTTCCGGTTGATTAATGTTTGTATATACCCTCTTAAGGCAACATGGTGCAACACAATGATACCTGTTAGTTCTGTAAGAGTTAGCTCCCTTTGATCTAAGCATGCAGAATTAGCTAGTTTTTACCAATGCCTACATTTTTCAACACATTTCAAAGGTGTCATATATTTAGTTTAATTATATTTAATTTTCAATCATCACAAATGGATTGGGCACAAGTTATTACAACTTAATATAATCCTTTCCAAAATACATAGCAACACATGCATATAAATAAAAATGCATAAGTTATCATCAGTTACCTAGAAAGCTTTTAAGCACCATTCGTAAATATTGTTTGACAATTGTTTTAGTTAGGAATTTTGGAAACGAAAACCATGGAAAGTAAGGTAACTAACATATATCCCTAATATACATGTCATTGCTTATCAGTTAATTAGAAACACGAAAACATTACCAAATACAGGGAGATGTAACCAATAGAAAACTTATATAGGTTAGCCTGTTTTCCAATCCATTTGTTATAAAACAATACCATTTGTTTAAATGAAATGAAAAGATGTTACGGGTTAAAGAGCGGGCGGTTTCTATTTCTTCTTCAGTTGAACTGACTTTACATTTATCTATACAACACTTAACATATATGTGTAGGTCGGACACATCTGTATTGAATCGGAAACGGCACATATAATTGATTTGATTCCTTTAGTAAACGTGTAAATACTAATAGCTAATGTTTGTTTTAATGATTTTACACTGTGACAATGCAGTAAAAATATCTAGCGTTACTGTTTCTGAAGTTTACTGAAGGTATTTGTCTCTTTGTGTCAATTATTTCTGTGCTATTTCTGTCGAAACTTCTATTTGTCTAAAATTTGATATAGTCCACAAGTTGATACTCCATTTAAACGAAAGTGGTTCTAATTATATACACACCATACTTTGTGAATATGCAACAGGAAATCAATATTTGACTTTAACGTGCTTTAAAATTTGTATTTCTTTAATGTACCCTTTGGGCTCACAAATAGATTAAGATTGATTTTTCATGGTGTATATGATCATAGTATCGTTGTTTCCAGCTGACGTTCTAATACACGATCGGTCAATGGAACTCTGACAATCAGATTATCAATGAAATAAGCATTGTTATTTAACATTATCACACATCACCCTGTTTCAACAGGTGTCCGTGGAGTTCCATTTATCAACGTCCATGCCTGGTTACAAAACATTTTACCTATAACTAGATTAGATGATTGTAACAGGAGTCTATCGACATACCAGTTGTTATACTCATCTATTCTAATTAAAAGGTTTGCATATCGATAACAGAAATAAGTATCAGCGATGAAAATATCATTAGAATTAGTTTTTTAATACACAATGCAGAGGCAATTTCTCATCTCATCATGACATAAAGTTGTTCATGTGATGTATGAGTAGCCAAATAGGAGACACCGCGCTATCCATTAGCCTATTAATATCATTGAAAAGTTGCTATTTTTTTCCTCGAAATATATTTTAATCATTAAAGAAATCCAGCTTGGTTTCGCCCGATGTTTCCCAATAATGTTATATTTAATGATTGCTAATGTCTAAATGTAAAATTCGTCCTGTTTTTTAAAACTGAGCAAAGTTTTCTGATAAATTCGACATTTATTCTTTCATTGTCGTCTGTTACTGATATACTTATATATACATTGAATTCATTTTATATTAACAGGTCGATATAGAAGAATAACAACATACCTGTATTCAGAACGTCTTCAAGTGATAGATCCGAAATCTGTCCCTCACGTATGTAACCTACTGCCATTGTTATTTATGTATTGTGTCTCTACAGGACATATACTTATATTTCGTTAACATAATGACTTTATACAGCCAGCTAATCTTACTATCGACCTTTACAGGTATAAGGCATCTCATGTTACGGGCCAACCTGTTATACGAAGCTTGATAGGATTCTGCTATTGTTATGGTGTATAATTAACATATTTATGACAATGAATTATCTATCAATCTCAAAGAAAAGCTAGCATTATATCTATACATTATATGTAAGCTCATAACAAACTTAGTGTACAGTTGTCACACATTAAGATGGTCATAATGTCCATTCTATAATACGCGAGTCATATATAAAGTTACTTTACACAAGATATTTTTGTTTAGTAAATGATTTTAAATAAAGATTTAAATTGCTGATCTTTATAAAACGTACTTAAAAATATTGCATTAGCGCATGGCTATAAAATGTCACATGACGAGAAATAATTAAAATTAGCTTGCCACATATGCTAAAAAATAAATGGAAGAATTCTTACAGTGGCAACTCTACAAGCATCACTACGTAATCCCTTGCCTGAGGATATAGATGTATTGTTATAAAGTCTTCACAAACATAATACCGCTATAAGCATCCGAATAGAAATTGTAGCTTGAATGAGCTAGATGGCTAACTTCAGTGTCCACGATGCACTGTCATGCAACGTACTTCTTTGCGTGCTGATGGTACAAAATGCATGTTTCATGTATCTTTTATCAATACCGAAGTATATTTAATGTTTAATCTATCGAGTATATCAAAGATTTGATGTAGTTTGTCTAATATTTCAGAACTATATTCAAGCAAAGATGTACGATATCATGACAATTTCTTACTTCAGATGGTTCGTTGCCTATACGCACTCTGTTTATATAATTTACTCAACTAACAATATAGCAAGAAATGATATGATAGATGAAAGGTAACTATTAAGACGTCATATTTTACCGTTAAATGTAAGTCTTCTTGTTTTTTCTCTTCCTTTATAGGAATAGGCTTCTTGTTTCCCTTCCTGGCATTTTTCATTTTGTGGTGCTACATGCAGACGTTAATGGCGACTGGCTGCGTTTTACATATGTTAAGGAATGTTTAGGTATAAAACAGCTACAATAGAATCATTGTACTATTTGTTTGTAATTTATCAATGTTCCAGTTGTGCCAAACACCATATCTATAGCATACAACAACGTCCTATAACAATAACAGAAATATACAGGCCGGAAAATAATTCATATACATGTATAATCAAAACAATGCTATGTAGGGTAAGCCCTATATGCCAAACAATAAAGAGGCAACACTATATGTAACTTACCTCGATATGGGCGAGGGAGCTACCCCCCTTATCTGATGTGGTATCCAGCTTGGCTGTATTTCCGAACCGACGACTTCTATATGTTAGTTCAAAAGTGTCACCAACTTTAATCCAGCCAAGATAGCCTAGTCCACAATGATACTTAAATGTCTAACATTTGTACCCACATATACTGATATAACAAGCTAGAACTGGTGATACATGAGATAATTTGTGGGCACATGTGCGTGACCACTCTTAACGTTGGACAGATTTGCTATATATCAGCGTAGTTTAAAGGTACTCAGCTCTTACAAAATATAAAAGTTTTATACAAAAACGAGATTTGACCAAATCTCAGCGCAACTACAATGACACGTATCGATCAACCAATCACAGACGTTCATTGATCGGATATGTTGCTATGTAGATTTGCAGGCTTGTCGTGTTCACGTGCAGTTTATATATATATATATATACAAATCTGACCCACTGCACTTGGCAGTTCGTTTG